CTTACTTTTGTTCTACACGTTTTACTTTTAAAGATTTCAGTACCTAAAACGCCAGAAATTTCACTATTTCTCGGCCAGGAATATGGCCACCTTAAAATAGAAACATGTGACAACAGCGGCAGTACCAATAAATAGTTGTCATGGAAACGGACGCGCTAGTCTGCTTCTTTGGAATACCGCTATATTCAAAAGTTTTGAAATTTTAACAAGTATGCATCGTCGTGCCATCTATCGGCCACTTTAGGACCTATTCGCTAAATACATTCCCACGAACCTTCTGTAGCGTAGCTATTTATTCTGTGATAAAATGCAATTTCCTATGATGCACCTGCTTTCAGTTTGACATACATTGTATTTGAGGAGCAGCTGCGCAAAAGCCGAAAAATCCATAATATGTGATTTGAGATAACTAGGAAAAAGTTGTAACTAGAACATTATTCACTGTAATCTTAAACTTTATGCACTTGTTTTGTAAGTTTAATCATGGTTTTAAAATATATATTGCTTACTGTTCAGTTTTATTAAATGTAAATTTTATTCCACTTTTTAAATTGGATTTATTGTCTTTTGTTCAATTATTATGTGGATATATAGACTTCTGCCCAATTGAAATGGATTTATCGGTTCTTGCTAAATCATATTTAGGATATACCGACTTCTACTTAATCTCTACTTATTTTATGGAAAAGTACAACACGATATACCATACATTTTTATTTGAATTATACACATGTGGTTCAAAGTACAAAAATTTTAATATCAAACGAAACAAAAAAATTGTGAAAATCTAACCCAACATCGTCTTCTAAACAATCACATATAACTTCTTCCTGTTCTTCGTAGGCCATCTCAAATATAATTTTTTTGTACCAAGATAAGTCTTATTACCCTCTCATATTTACGCACTGCATGTATGTGAAAATTGCACCATCTCGCGATAAACTATGAAACTACGAAGAAATTAAACAATAGAAAAATTTTTAAAGAAATCTGTTAAATTTAGTATACATGGATTTAACGCTCTTTGCTTGGTCGAAATATGGATTGATTGGCTTTTGGTTAGTCGCTTATTTTAATATGCCGTTTCTCATTGAATTCAACGTTCTTTGTTCAATCTAGATGTAACCAAGCCATAACCGTGCCCAACTAAAAAAAATTTAAAAACGGATTTATCGGCTTTTGCATAGCTGCTCCTCATTTTAGGAACACTACGTGTATTTACTGTAAGATTTTCAGGTAGGTGGTGAGATAAGTAATACTATCATGTACTGCATGAATTTGTTTGGAAGAGTTGCGGTATCTGGAGCTATATCTGCATATAATGATAAAAGTATCCCAACAGGTAAGTTTTTGAGTTTGAAATAATTTTTCACGGTTTGCGTTTGAAAATTTGCATAAAAATTGCACCGCTCAAAATTGTAACAGTTTGTCGGTTATTAAGCGTTTTCGACGTTTCTATTTGATTTTAAATTCGGCTTATATTTAGCAGAAAAGCCCACTTAATCCCGTAAACTGACAATCTAACAACTTACAATATTTGCAGTTATAAAACACAAAGGTAACTGAAGATTATAATTATTATCATAAACTAAAAATAAACTATTTGTTACATTTTTGTTATTATTTTATCCTGCACTTGGTTGACAACAACAAAATTTTCATACTATACCTAATATAACACTGATTTGTTTCTTATTTTTTGTATTTATGTATAACTGCTAGTACTACTCATATCATAATTTTTAGCAACTATTGCTCAGTACCCGCTATTGTCTCATCAGTTAAGAATGGAAGGTTTTATCGTCCATAGATGGGCAGACCGCTGGTTTGAAGGTATCAAACAAAATAGAACTTGGATACAAGAAGGAAAGTTAAAATATCCTGAGACTGTGACAGAGGGTTTTGAAAACATGTTTAAAGCTTTCACTGATATGTTGAATGGTGTAAATTTCGGGAAAGCTATTGTCAAAGTCTAATGACAGTTAACTACATTTTTTAAATAAACTACAAAAAAATGGCTTATCTTTTTTAATTACATCCGTAAGTTTTTTTTGGGATTTACCAACTTACCCCTATTTAAAAGTCTGTATCCGATTCCCTCCTATACTACAGATGACAATGGGTACATCTACCTAACCCTTTCAGTGTAGATCCGCATAGAAACAGCGTTTGGGGATCTATATCTCAGTACATGGTATAACTATACATGATCTCAGTAGGTATTGACATTTGAATGAAGATAAGGTGATTTAAACAAGCTACCCTTAAAGTATGACCCATTCGATTTCGGACATCCTATACACGGTGTAAGAGGTTTGACTGACATTACTTTAGCATGAGATAGAGTAATTATAAATGACAAAAAAGTTGCATATTACAGGGGCGTAAGATTAACAGTTTTCAAAATACAGCTAGTACTACTTGTCCTACGGAAAAAATGTAAACAGCTATTATTGTGGAACATTTAGTAAATTTCAAGGCAATTGTTTTCCAATTTTTTAATAAATAAAATAAAATGTATCGATTTTGTAGTACGAAGATAGTGTTGTGGTTAAATTTTAGCTCGAATTTTAATAATTATGAATCTCTTAAAAAAGGAACTTAACTTTTAATCAAATTATGAATTTGAAAAATATTTATTTATAGTACCCAAAGATTCANCTCAGTACATGGTATAACTATACATGATCTCAGTAGGTATTGACATTTGAATGAAGATAAGGTGATTTAAACAAGCTACCCTTAAAGTATGACCCATTCGATTTCGGACATCCTATACACGGTGTAAGAGGTTTGACTGACATTACTTTAGCATGAGATAGAGTAATTATAAATGACAAAAAAGTTGCATATTACAGGGGCGTAAGATTAACAGTTTTCAAAATACAGCTAGTACTACTTGTCCTACGGAAAAAATGTAAACAGCTATTATTGTGGAACATTTAGTAAATTTCAAGGCAATTGTTTTCCAATTTTTTAATAAATAAAATAAAATGTATCGATTTTGTAGTACGAAGATAGTGTTGTGGTTAAATTTTAGCTCGAATTTTAATAATTATGAATCTCTTAAAAAAGGAACTTAACTTTTAATCAAATTATGAATTTGAAAAATATTTATTTATAGTACCCAAAGATTCACGTCGTCCAAATAATCATACGTATTAAAAATAATTTAGGTAGTTACCAAAAAGCAAAATTCAGTTATTTTTAAACGTACAAGTACAAAATAAACTACAACATATGCTCAAAATGTCCACCATCGTTTTCGATGCACGCACGACACCTTCGAATCCAATTTTCGCGCATTCGCTGGAAAACACCTCAAGAAAAGGAAATAGTGATACGCAAAAAACACTCAGACACGGTTCAATTCCAGATACCAACTGAATTGCGTATTGCTGGACAGCTTAGTACCTCGTGTTAACCGCCGCGCCGTTGTCACATTGCTCGATATGAATTTTATTGAATTTAAAATTTATGTTTAATTAATTATTTTTTAAAAATTGGATTAGATTTAGAATTTAGAATTTAGAATTAA